ACCAAACATTCAGAGAGGAATTGGTGCCTATCCTTCACAAACTCTTCCAAAAAATTGAGAAGGAAGGTATAATACCTAACACGTTCTATGAAGCCAACATTACACTAATACCAAAACCGAACAAGGACAACACAAAAAAAGAAAACTATAGGCCAATCTCCCTAATGAACACTGATGCAAAAATCCTCAATAAAATTTTAGCTATCAGAATCCAACAGTGTATCCATAAGGTAATTCACCACGACCAAGTAGGATTCATTCCAGGGACACAAGGTTGGTTCAACATCCGAAAATCAATCAACGTTATCCAACACATCAACAAAAAGAAATATAAAAACCATATGATAATATCAATAGATGCCGAGAAAGCTTTCCACACAGTGCAACACCCATTCATGATAAAAGCCATTGAAATTCTTGGGATACAAGGAACATACCTCAACATCATAAAGGCCATATACGACAAGCCAACAGCCAGTATCATTCTCAATGGTGAAAAGCTGAAAGCATTTCCATTAAGATCTGGAACAAGACAAGGATGTCCACTCTCACCACTGCTTTTCAATATGACATGGATATTTAAGGAAGGTCATTACTAATATTGAAACTTTCTCTTCATGCAACTCTTTCCTCTCTAGTACTCTCTGAACCCTGACTTCTTTGGCCTTTTCAAATTCCCAGCTTCACCACCTCAACTCATGGAGGCTGTGTCTTTTCCTTGGGCTCTGGAAAAACTACCCCAAGCTGAGGACATCACAGAGCTCATTTCATTTCTTTGCCATCTCTAATGGGTCGATATCCTGCACTATAGGGTATGAAATGTCTAAAATCCAGTGTTTTGAATATTTTGTATAGCATTTAATTGTCTCTGTCACAAAGCTGAATCAAATATTTGTTATTTTAATTTGAAAAGAATCAAGGGTTGTGTTTTTGATGATAAAGAAAACTTGCATATGTTCATAGAGGAAAAAATTGGGAGTAAAATAGAAATTGAAAATTGCAGGAAAATTAATGGATCAACTTCCGAATGGAAACAGAAAGGAGAAATAATGAAAAGCTGAGAGGTGGATCAGTTTGAGAAAGGAAAGGAATACTTTTTATTAAACAGGAAAAAATGGAAAGCCATGGTGATGAAGCAGAGAAATGTAGATGCAGAGTCTATTTGATCAGCTGATATTACTTGAGCTTCTATCGTGCAATGTGAATAAATCTCAACTGCCTTCCACAATGTGGGAAGGGGGCTGGAGGAGATAGAGAATAGGAAATGAAATGTGATTATTCCCAGCATAGCTTGCCCCCAAACCACCTTCCTTCTAATTCCTTATCCCTGAGCTTTCAATATTCTTGAGAGAAGAGAGGGATGTATAGATTATCTAGAGGATTCTGCAAAAGCCTACTTGGAAACTTCTGGTGGTCTGAGTTACAGCTTTTGTTGGTATTTGATAACTATCATTTCTTGGTGCCTTCACAGAACTGCTCTGTTTAATATCTGTTGCATAGTACTAGTTAAGGGATAGGAGAAAAGTAAAAGCACAATTTCATTTTAATGACTTGAGTAATCTGTGTGGAGTAAACACATCTTGAAAACACATTGGATAGGAGCACCACCCCCCCTCATAATCTTCAATGACAGGGAATGCCATAAAAAAATTGCCTTTTTGACCTAAAGGAATTATCCAGGAAAGCGATATGGGGTAGAGGAATGGTAAGAATAAAGGATATTCCATTAGAGGAAGGAGGATGTGGAAAGGTCCTGGGGCAGGAGAGTTACTGGATAGTAGGTGGATAAATAGGACTGATAAGGACAGAGAACTCATCAGAAGCTACACTCCAGGCTTACCTTGCAAGCGTTCTAGGGGTTTGAATTCATCCTGAGAACAGTAGAGAATCCAAGAGGGGTTTTAAGTTGAGGAGTGACCGTGAAAATTTTTGTGTTTGAAAATCAATCTAATGGCAACTGTAAAATAAGTGAAAGTAGGGAAGTTTAGAATGGTTTAAATTTGCTTTTAATCATTGGGTCATATTGTCTATTTGTGCCAGGTAGAAAGATGGGGAAAGGGAAAGATTTATGAAATAACAAGAGAAATGGTGAGAGAGGATGGCGGAAGAACATGACAATCAATAATCCCTAAAGCCCAGTCAAGGCTGGGTAGTGTGAATTACTAATGAAAACAACAGTCTTGCTTATGATGTCTTTGCAGCAACCTGGGACAATTTGATAGCAGAATCAGAGAGCAGAGATACAGACATTGGGTTGAACTCAAACTAAAAAATATGGGGCAAGGTGATTAAGCAAAGCACATGATGAAAGGCAATATCTGAGACTGAGACCAACAAAGCTTCTCTTAAATGCCTTTCTCTGAGCACAGGATGAGTTTGGAGGCCAGAAATGCCAGAATGAAGACAATAAGAGACTAGAGAGAGGAGAAGGCTGACTAGAGAGAGGACAAAAAGGAATGTTAGACCAGTCATGAGAGAGGGTGTTAACATTCAAGGGAATGGCAGTAGTGAAATTCTGAGAGGTTCTGGTGAGTCCAGGTGATTGAAGGCAGCAGGTGGTACTAAGGGAAAATTGTGGAAAATGTCACAAATTTGAATGTTGCTATTCAAAAAAAAATGGGGTCCAAAGGGAGCTTGTGAGCAAGGTAAAAGTCACACGGGATGTCAGTAAACCCTGGAAACCAGGTAGGGAAAGCAGAAGTGTAAACCTGTTAAGTGCTCATGGCCCGCTGTGTGGAAGCTGGGGCAGAGTGGAGGAAAAGGGCGGGCATGTACTTTTCTTTCTTTGATTCCAGAGGTGTTGCCATCATTCCAGGGGACTGGATTCTCAAAAGAGGTTTGGGTGGCGGTCCTGGGACAGAAACCTTTCTAGGGGGGGAATTTCTTTTCTTTTCTTTTTAAAAAAGATTTATTTATTTCTTCATACAAAAACTGGGGTACAGGCGAGAAGTGCGGGCAGTGAGAGGATTCACCAGAGACAGAGTGGGGAACAGAACGGGTGGATTGACTGAAACACACTGCTGAGGGGAGCAGCAGGTGAGACAGGAGTGGTCTGCTGCGCCATGAGGGTATCTCCCTGGCCTGCGGGGGATTGAACTCGTGCTGCAGTGGCTGTGGATAGCTTCACAGTGCTGTGCTTAACCTCTTGCACCACCACAAGGTCCGGGAGGAATTTATTTTCAAGGAAATATTATGTCAAATTATAAAGAGGCCTCAATGATACATATTTTTTTCAATCCACTGGCCATTGTGGAAGCAAGGAGAAGAGGAAAAGCAGGGATGGTCTAGGTTGGCTAGGGGGAGAGGGGAGATACAATATACAGCAAGGAGCTTACTAGAAGGGATACAGTGAAAATGCTCCTGTTGGTGACAGTTTTTTCAGCAAGCACAATTGAGACTCTTCTGAGTCATTTATACTTCCGGAAACTCTGAAGTCATTTTAGCTTATTCACTAAAATTTGGGGCGCCCATTATAGCTGCTGAGCATCTTATGATGAATTCTTTGAAGAGGTCTTCCCTTTGAACATGCTTTATGTGCTTATTTAGAAAAAAGTGCTGGAGAAAATAAAACAGAAAGATCACTCTATGCCAATCAGAGTCCGAACACAGAGAGGGTGTATTGATCAAACACATTAGTGCAAAAATCTTTAAATTTCCTATTAATAATTACCACACATATGAAATATCAGCAAGTGATGACTAAGAACATAGGAGGTAGATGCAAAAGGTTTCGCCCACACCCTGTTTTGTGGTTTTTACCGTGATGTTCTCACCACACCTATGAGTTTCGCTTACTAAAACAATAAAGAGTAGAATAACTAAAATCTGCTGACCAGCACAGAGAGCTAAACACAGTTCCTCACAGACTAAACCTGACAGACAAGATCACAGTTCAATTTGGTGAATGTCTGATGATGTCAGCTAATGTTTTTTGCAACTTGGTCTATCTGTGTATTCTGGCCTATCTGATTTTGCTCCTCTTCAACTGATCTTTGAGAAAATTAATCTCACCTTTATTTCACTTACAAAATGTTGAGATTAAAAACAAAGCTAAAATGGGGGTTCACTGGGGGCAATTTATCCATTCCAGGTGCGCAAACCACACATAGAATCCCCCTCTTAAAAATTCTTTGTTAAAAAAAAAAAACGAGCAATTCATAAGTGTCAGGCAGGGGAAATCAATAATAAATGTTTTCTGTGCGGAAAAATAACGTATATGCATAAGAGCATGATCAGTGATAGCGAAAAATGAGCAAAATAGCGTTTATATTAGTTACTATTTTAAGTGCTTCCTATGCGGTAAGCTCTATTCACGCTCTACTTTGTAATTCAGGCACCCCCATGGCAGAGATACCCTCGTTTCTGTGGCACAGATGAGCACCCCAGGAGCCCGCGAAGCAGCGGGTCGCCTGCCCCGCGTCACCTCCAACCACAGCTGTTGGGGCTGAGCAGACGCTGGCGTGACACTGTCCTAGAGATGTTTTTAAAATCCCACTGGAGTCCCACCTAAGGCAGATCCACTCTACTTTTTAGGTGTGGCTGGCACCTTGATTGTAACCAGCTAAATCACAGCGCCAGGACCTGCCCTCCAGGTACGTGGAGCAGAATGGGCCAGCGGGTCTGTGCGCCCCGGGGGAGGCCGGGCGGAAGGACCAGGTGGGGAGCTCCCGGGCTGGAGGGAGGCGCGCTGGAGAGCAGAGCGCTGGGCGGGGTCCCCTCCGGGGCCCGGAGCGCGCAGCCGGAAGGGCCGCGCCAGGTGGCGGCCTCACCTGTGCACTTGACCTGCGCGGGCGGCGGGGCGGCGGCGCGCTCACCTGGGCCCACGTGACGGGGCGGGGCCTGTGCGGGCCGGGGCCGCGCCGTCACGCCCCCACCCCCACCCCACCCCCGCGCAGCGCGCCCGGACCCCGCGGACCCAGCGGCGGCGGCGGGTGCCCGGGAGGCGGAGGCGGGCGGAGGGAGGCGGCGGCGCGCGGAGACGCAGCAGCGGCAGCGGCAGCATGTCGGCCGGCGGAGCGGCCGTCCCGCCGCCCCCGAACCCCGCCGTGTCCTTCCCGGCGCCTCGGGTCACCCTGCCCTCCGGCCCTGACATCCTGCGGACCTACTCGGGGCCTTCGTCTGCCTGGAGATTGTAAGTGGGGCACGCGCGCGAGGGGCGCGCCCGGGGAGCCCGGTCTGGAAGCCGCATCCTGCCCCCGAGCCCCGCGCGCCTTGCTCTGTGCGGCCCGGGTTCCCCCTCCTTTCGACGTGGCCTCTGCCTGCCCCCCTCCCGGGCTGCTCTCGGTGCCCCGTGCAGCTGCCCGGGCACTAGCCTGGCACCTGTTACGCTGGCACCTGCTTCCCCGCTGGCGACAGAAATGCCCTGAACGTGCGAGCCGGCGGCCTCGCCTAGCCAAGGATTGGGGGCTTTGAGAGGAGATGGGTTTGGGGCTTGGGGACGCCTTCAGAGACCCCCGGCGGCTTGGCCGGGGTGGGGGGTCCCCTCTTGGCTAGAGGCAGAGCCGGCGCTTTCGGCCTCGCCTGTTGCTAACCTGCCATTTTGTTGGGTGGTGCAAAGGTGCAGCCCATGACTGGGCGACCAGGAGGCTTCCACGATGTGGAAACGCTGGGAGGGACCAGGCAGAGGACGAACAGAGCTGAAGACTTTAGTGTTTCCCCCCTTTGCCATTATTGTGCCTTTGGATTGGGAAGAGGAACTGAACGCAGGAAGCAGGGGAGGGGTAAAGGCGAAGCGTGTGCTGTGCCCTTGGCGGTTTCTAGCCAAGTGGGCGTGAGAATAGTGGGGGAATGCTGCAAAGGTAGCTGTCAGCTTCCGCCGCCTGCCTGTGCCGAATTCTCGCTTCTTAGTCTACCCGTGCAACGCCAAACCTCCAGACTTTGTGGGGCGCAGGTGAAGGTGAGGTCACCCGGCCTGGCGTGCAACCCTCTGGGTCTAGAGTCTTGAACTTTTTAAAAGGAATTTCATGGACATGGAAGCTTTAGAGCTCGTTGTGGATGAGGGGAAAATGTGCAAATATAAATTGGGCAACCTGCGGTTGCATCATGCCCTGGGAATGGCAAATACAGAGTGAAATGTACGGAGTCAGGGCCTTTCCTGCAGGCTGGGTTTGTTTGTTTTGTTAGGGATTTTCTATCTGCCACCTCACCCCCTCCTTTGGGTTTGCATAACCTGGATTTGGGAAGCTTTGGTTTCGCTTTGGTGCTGGGGTGGCTGGAACACCCGGTGAGCATTGATTGTTCTGCCCTGTTATGCTAAAGTGGTTAACTTACCTGAAGTCAAGTTTAGCTCAGATTTGAATCTGAAAAGAAACAGGTGAGTTACAGGCTATGCCATCAGTAACCAGAGCGTGACTAGAAGAGGCTGGCTTGAGGCTGAGCCCAGTTGGGATGAGGCACAGGCATCCATGTGAGAAGTGAGGGCAGAGGGTGGTGTTGGCCTGATGGCTCAACAGTAGGAAGGGAAGGGTCGTGCTCCCCAAACCTGAGTTGTCTGTGTACCTCTTTCAAAAATGTTTGTGGTGTCTGCATTCCAGCTGGACTAGAATTTACAGAATGTTCACTTAAATAGATTCTCTTTCTGAACTTCAGTACCTGTCTTAGTTTGATCCTAAGCACTAATATGTAGGAATTTCCAAGTTCAGTGTTCTGCTTAGATTCTAATATATTTTCAAATATGTACTTATATTCTAGTATGTTCATTTAAAGATGCACATGCGCGTCTGCGTGTCTCTGTGTGTAGAACACTTATCCATGTGACATCAAATCAAATACCATCTAAAGAGCCACCTGTGGTCATGTCACACTTGTAAACATGGTTTAGTCCTGAAGGGGAAAAAGGGCAAAATCATTTATTCTATTTCTTCTCCCCCACTCCCTATCTCTTTATCCATCTAATCCAGTAGTCAGTTCTCAACTCTTACTGTACTTAATTACTTGGGCAGCCTTGAAAAAATGCTGTTACCAGCCCAGACTAATTAAATCAGAGCCTCTAGGGAAATGCCTACAGTCAACTTGGAGGTTTTCAAAGCTGCAGGGAGGTTCAAATCCACAGTCATGAATGGGAATCGCTAAGGGATGCTCCTGACAGGTGTCTGTGCACAAGACAACTATTTTCTTGCAAATGTGAATTCTCTCTACTTGCTACCCTTTCTAGAAGGGATCCCAGACTCACAGAAGGACCCAGTCCATCCTTTCTGTATCTCTTATCTCATTGCCTGTGACTTCTTACCCCCAAACAAGTCTAGGACCCTTATCTAGATAGAATGGTATCACTTCCAAAAACGTTGGTAGTTTACTTCAGTTTTTAATGGCCGTTCACCTTGATAGGTTTAAATCTTAGGCCTCCATACCACTTTTACTGAAATATCAAACTCCCTCCTCCCCACTCCATGCCCCCCAAAATGAAAGGACCAAACAATTCTAATGAAGCAAGTGAATTTAGTGAAACAAGAAGCTATATTAGAGCTAAAGTAGAGCTCCTTCTCAATTCTCATCCCCCAGACCTTGTGGAGATAGTGTGGCCTCTGCCTTGAGAGAGCAGAGATAGAGACCACCTCAGCACCCCTCCATCTGGAATGAACAGATACACAGATATGAGCTGAGCGAACCCTTTTGAAGCACCTATGTCCTTGTCTCTCAATTTCTCTCTAATTTCTTGATTGTTTCAAAGTGTTGGGTTTCCCATGGCTCCTCTTCAAAAAGTTCTCATCCTGTAAAGATACTCTCCTCTTTCAAGATTCTTCATCTCTAAGGAATTTTCCAGGAGCAATTATAAATGCTAGGTGATGCCCCTTCTGGGGACCCATTATTTTCGGCCCTTCCAGTGTTTCTGGATGCCCCCAAATTCCTTCTTCATTTTGACCCACCTATTCTAATAGTCCATTCTAGTCTCTGTGGCTTCCCTATCTATGTCTATCTAAAACTTAACCCATGAAAACTCTCTTAGCAAGATGGATTGGCTACTCACAGTCGTCTAAACTGAGACTATGATCTCACAGTCCAGTAAAACACATCCAGTAATTTTACCCAAAGAATTTAATCCCAGTCCCGCTTATTATAGCCCATTCACAGCTCTCAGGTATAAGTCATTTGTTGGAGAGAGAATTCAAAAGATGCAAATGTAAATACAGCCAGCCTAACAGCACCAGGTAAAATAATTTATGGCTCTTGGATTTTTTAAGATCTGTGTTCTCCTGGACACCTGAGTTGTCAGTCTCTTGGCTTTTGCCACAAAGAATGTAATATTGTACACTCTTACTGTTAGTATTACAAAAGAAGCCTTTCAGTTTAGGATGGAGAACATCACCTTCAAACGCTACCATTTTCAGCTTCTCTCACTGTTGCCTGAATTAATGTTCTCTAAACCATTCATCAGTATTTATTGAATACTAACTGTGAGTTAGATACTCCTCTGGGAAAAAATACATTGAGATACTTCCTCAAGTTAATTGAGGGAATATGCACCAATTAACTACCATTCATGGAAGATAGGCAGAAGTTTGGACAGTGAACTATAATGAATGCAATTTCCAGGCATGTCTGTCAGTAAGCAAATGACATTGGGGCATCTGAACTATTGGGTTGAACTATTGGGGCTGAAAGGTATTTTACTTCCCTGTCCTCAACGAACTTGTACAATGCACAAGGAAAAAATGGACATAGCAATATCGAATACAGAAAAGAATAAGTCATTGATGAATCAGTGGGTCTGTTTTGTGTTTGGGAAGTACATTCCCCAAGATGTTCATTCATGTTTTTCTTTATGGGAGATATTCTAGGACTCGTTCACATGCTTCTAACTGCAGTGTTTTAAATATCGCAATAATTTTCATTTATTCAAAAAAATAATTAAAAACATGCTCTACATCAGGCTTTATTTTATGCCCTGGGAATAGGAGAGTTAACACACAGTCCCGCCCTTAAAAGAAATTCCTGTACAGTGAAGTATAAAGTCAAGAAGGAATGACAGTGCAGTGTTGAAAGTGAGAAAAGTGGTTTGGGCAGGAGAGGGTGGGATGATGCACAAGATGGAAAACTGGGTAGAGAACATCTGGCTACCTGGGAGGCCAGTGCAGGCAGCTCTAATAGAACGTGGCCTTTGAGTTCAGCTTTAAATGATCAGCAGATGTTCAATAGACAGAAAAAGTGGGAAAGAAAATTGCAGGTAGATCAAGGGCATGTACAAACCCCAGAGACAAGAAGGAACATGGCATGAAGGTTCTGGCAATTGTTAGTTTTCTTTTTCTATGTATGACTCGTGAGAAGGTGGTATAAGGAAGAAAAAGATCAGATAAGGTTCAAGTTGTGATTTGCTAAGTAATGATAGACCAAGGCATAGAATTTATTCTGTGTGTGATGGGGAGCTGCAGAAAGACAGGGATAAACTTGATAAGGCTTGTGGTTTAGAAGTGAAGTGAAGTTTGAGCAGTGAAGTTTGGTTATAAAAGAAAGATGGAAGAGGAAATCAAATAAGGGTCATATTGCAGGAGTTTAGGTGCTGGGTGATGAGTACTTGAAGTAGAGCTAAGGAAATAAGCAAAGGAAGAGAGATTTGAGGTTTCAGACTTCAATCAAGTATGTAAAGTTTGACTTGTCCTGAAGTGATAATGCAGCAAAGCTGTAACTCAGGTATTATGTCAGAAAAACACGTGCTAATGCAGGCTGATGGGGAGGGAGGGGCTGTGGAGCAGATGTGTCTAGTCCTGCAGATCAATCTTGGAAGGGATTCAGGTTCTTTTACCCAAATCTTTGACTTTAGACATACTTAGACATAAATAACCAGACATACAGAATTTTCCTTTCTTGTCTCAAAAATAAACTGATTTCAAAAGGTGATTGTATGTTTGCTGTGGGGAAGAGGTGTTACCTATGGATTTATCTCCCTCTTTATAGGGGATTTAATTCTATAAGTAAGATTTTTCCCTTTTTCTCTGGATTAAAATCTCCACTTTTGTTCAGCATCTTTCAAACTTCAGGAAAGAAAATAAATTGATGTCTCTGCCAAAGATTATTTACAGCAATCTTTTGCTCTGGCTGGTAGTTTATAAGAAATATGAAGAATTTAAATATGGAAAGCTTAAAGTCAAGTTCATGAAAACCTTGACCTTGAGCTCCAGAGGTTAAGGTCAAAGG